CTCTTCTGGTTCATTCCCTCCCCAAAAAGTTCCCAAACCGAACCGAGGCAAAGCAGCCGCTTCGGCATCGGAGACGTGACCTTCCTTTGCTGCGCCTACGGGCTGCTGGAGTACCGGGTCGACACCCTCGCACGGTGCACCGCCAAGACCTTGCATCTGACGGGCGGCGAGAAGCTCGAGGACATGAACCACATCTGCAAGGCAAGGGGGGGGGGGGTTAGAGGCGGGAAGACTTTTTTTTTTGTTTCCCCGGTTTGGGGGGTTCCTCCAATTTGCGGGAGAAGCCGTTTTTTGTATTTCGTTTTTGGGTGAGGGGGGAGGGGGTTGGCAAAGGAGTGCAAGTTCACCCATCCAAGGGGCACCAACGCACCGCGGGCATGTCCAGGCCCCGTTTTTCGTCCGCGCAAGGGCAGTCTTGGCGGACTGTTCCTGACTTTTAAGAGTCGAGGACTCATGCCCATCCCCTTCATGAGGCAACTTTGCCACTTGAGCCACAATCAAAACCCGGGTAGATGAAGGTTAGGGAAATCCCCCGCCAGAATCCGTTGCGGATATCCGCCTCAAGTCTTGACGTGGGATTCTTGAGGCCCTGGGCCTCATCGGCGACCCCCGGGTGGACAAGCTGCACGCCATGACCCACCGGGTGGGGAACATGATCAACGGGGACTTCCGGCGCGTGATCACGGCGGACGCCACGGGCATGGACGCGCGGCGCTTCACCACCTTCTCCGCGGGGCCCGGGGCCTGCGGGGTGGTGAAGCAGTGGTACTACCTGCACAACCACCCCTGGCTCTTCCGGGAGGCGCGGAAGGATTTGTCAGTGGGTCGCTCTTTTTTTGGGTTGAGGGGGGAGAATCTTGGTGGCGTGTTTGAAGGGAAACAAAAGGACACCACGATTTTCTTTGAATTTGGCTTGAGGGGAATCTTGGTGGCGTTTTTGACTTTTGCGGGGGGGGGGGGGGGGTACCTTAGAAAAGGGGACACCCAAATATCTGGTTGTATTCTTGTGCCAAACATGGGGGGGGGGGGCTGATGTCCGATAAGCCAAGGAGGCAATATGAGCATATTTAGCCTGAGACGACCCTTTACCCGTGCCCCAAACTCGGGGGATTCACCCCCGAAGTTTTTGCCAGATGTGAAGCCAGTGTTGTGTCCAGCTTCTTTTGGTGTCCCTTCGCTGGGAGGGTGTGGTTGTTTGAACCCTGGAGGCCTGTGCTCAGGGCATGATGAAGCTTCTGCCGGTGCACAAGAAGAGCGAGACGCAGCCAGATCAGCCGGTGTACATGACCAACGTGCAGTATGAGATGTGGGCTGGAGGCAGGGTTTGCACAATTTGCTTAAACCAGTCAGCCATCTGGGGGAGACCAGGAGGTTGTTTCAACAGAGGTCGATCGAACCCATGAGTTAGGGCTACCCGGTTGCATTCCGAGGTGTCTTCTCCAGCTACTTCCCCTCCATGGGTTTGGCCTGGGGGGATGAAGCCGCATACAAGTACTCCCTGATCCACACCATGCATCCCGTGGAGAAGTTCTACGAGTACTGTAAGGCGGACTGGGACAGATACTTTGTTGCATTTGGATGTTAGGACTTTAACTTGTTTGTTGTGAACTAATTGGGTTTTCCATTAAACCACTAAGAGTTAAACTCTTAGAGGAGCAGAAAGCAACCGAGGATACCAAAAGATGTTCCAGGAGAACTGCAAGGGCTGCGCGGACAAGAACGTGCCATACCCCTACACCATGGACCATGTAAAGAGTTGGTTCGAGGTGTACAACGAGAAGCTGAACATGCACACTGTGCCCGAGGGTCCGGATGACTACTTCCGGAGGAACCGGGTTGAGCCGAACTTGGTTCAAACATCAGCCCGAATACCTGTTAACGGTGGAGCAATTTTTGAGGTTCGGAAAGGAGGCCGTTGAACCATGGTTTCGGCCACGAGCAGGTTGTTCACCATGTAATTCTTCCCACATGTTTTAACCGGAGCTTGAATTGTCAAAACGTTGGGGCCGGGGGGGGGGGGGGGGAAGGAGCTCAGTGAGATGCTCGGTCTTTTGATTTTGGCGATTTTGGGGATGTCACTTCAATGGACCCCGATACACCCCTGCAGATTAACGGACCCTCAAAAAGGCCACATCCATTGCTACAAGGCCAGATTGACGGATGCACCCTTCCATGGGAGCATCGTCGTTTCCTTTTGAACAGACGATTTCGGCGATTGTTCAGTGGATGTCTGACTAAATGGAGGGTGGGATTCCCTTTAAGCCACCAGATATAGTTGAGGAGCACCATTAGCATCTACAAGAAGGCCAGCGACATGATCCAGCAGTCGCTCGTCGCGCCCTTGGTCAAGGAGAGCGGCCTGATCAAGGGCTTGAAAGCGGGGGACGATCCTTGCATGACGGCGCCTCGGCTGCCCGTACAATTTGGAGGACATGACCGAAATCAGCTTTGAGCGTTTTTGGAGCACGTCTTTGCCAACCAGCCAAGCACAACAGAAGAAGCAGCTAAACTTGTGACCTTTCAGACCGCCGATTTCCTAGCCCATCAAACCAATTGGGTATGCTCTTTCCCCCCCCCCCCCAGAAAGCTTCAACCCAAACAAACCTCGCGGCGCGCTCTTTTTTTTGTTGGGGGCCCGTCTTGCCGCACAAACACCTCGCGTCCATCCACTCGTTCATCCACTCGCGTCCATTCGCGTCCACTTGCGTCCACTGGTCCGAGGTGTGGGCCAACAAGATCTACGAGCTGAAGAAGGGGCTCACGGCCTCGGATCCCGAGAGCGCCCTGAGCTTCGACGACAAGGCGCTGGAGGCCTGGAAGGACCTGGTGGCCGACGGCTACAAGTTCCAGGTGGAGAATCTGGGCACGACAGGCGGGCCAAGCTGAAAACCAGAAAACCTGAAAACGCCAAACCGCAAAAGTCGCGGAAACAAAAAACAAGCAACGACCACCCAATTAAACACACCCAGAGACCTGAGGTGGCTCTGCCCTAACATGGCTTGGCGCCCAACAGGAGCCAGGTTTGTTGGGAGGGTACCTTGAATTGGGGCCCACACAAATTGTTGCTACGCTGCAGGGGGTTCTACGAGCCTCCTCTTTGTCCAAAAAATGGAAGTGGACTTGACTTTCCAATATTCCAAAATGGGTTTCGTCTCCCAAAACCCTTTGATCATCCATCGGAATGCCAGGTGCTAGCGCCAAGTAGTTGACCCCGCGCCCTTTTTTTCAGGCGACAAGATGCTGGCGGACGGAGGGGCCTGGCAAAAGATCGTCGCCTTGCTGACCACGAAGAAGCCCGAGTGAGCTGCCGAAAGGTGAGGCTGTTGGCGCCGCTTTTGCTTTTGGAGCCGCGTGTGTTTTGCGGCGGTCCGAAAATGCGAGAGAAGGTAAAGAGGGAGGCAAGAGCCCGGGCCGGATGGGTCAGTTCTCGTTCGGGAGCCGAAGCCTCTCAACGAGGTGATGGCCTATCATCTTTTGAGGCCCCTTAGTTTTGCATGAGAGTTCTGAAACAGAACCCGGATTATAGAGTAGGTTAGATGCCAGGCATGTTTTCGCAGAAGTCTATCAGCGGCTTGAAAAGATGTGCCTGCTGTTTTGCTTGTCGCGCAAGAGCGCGAGTGGAGGGGAACAGAGGGAGGGCCAGCACTTTGCTCAGTGAATCTCTGGCAGCACTCTTTGAAACCGAGACAAGCACCATGTATGGAAGGTTCGCTGGAGTCAGAGAAGCCTCTTTCACCAGTTTGCTTTCGCTAGCTGCTACGTGACAATCTTTAAGACTTGGAACTACTCCTCACAGGTAGTTGGTGGACGTGAATCCTGACCAAGTGATTCTGCATATCCAAGGCAAGGCTTCGCGGTGGTGACATCCTTTATCATCCGCAGCACCAAGGAGAAGGCGCGACAAGACAGGTCGCGCATGCAGACCTTGGTCAACTTGTTCTTGAGTTTGAGAAACGCTTTCTTGTACTTGGCCCATGCTCTCCCAGCCTTGGTGACATGAGACCGCATCGAAGCCCTGCAAGCCATGAATGCGAATCGCCCAAATCCGATTCCCATTGGCCATTTGGCTGGCTCCATTTGGTTAAACCGTTCCCATCTCAGAACCAAAATGGGCAGAACTGGCGCTCCAAGGATCCAGCTACCTTGCTGGTGATGGTGCTAGGTTCTTACCTTTTGTGTTTTTCAAAGGAGAGCCGAAAGGAACGCCGCCAGTTTTTTCGTGTGGTCCAAACCACTCTTTTCACACAGATCCATTTGAAGGCACAGGGTTTTCTGGGACTTCCGCTCAGTGTTTCTTTTTGGCGCAGTCTGGGCGCCTTATGCCCATCATCTGCATCCTCGCCTTCTTTCTGAGCTCGGCAGCTTGGCGCTTCAACGTCGCCTCGCGGTTTCTGGGACTGACAAGGCAGATATGTTCTTGCCCAGGGTTGGCCCAATCAAATTATCGATGCGGTCAGATGAATGATGTTCCAGATTTCGGACAGTTGCATCTGGATTCCTGGACCAAAGGCCCTTATTTCGTGGCATAGCAAATTTCCCATGCCCAAAGTCAGCATGCAACGTGGAGCAAAAGCCCATGGCTCGTACTGCGTCCCTTAATTTGAACGAGCCAGCCCCAAACTCTGGACAAATGGATTCGTAGTGAGCACACAGTAACAGTTACATAGAAGACGTCAACTTTTTGGCCGGGCTTTGAAGCTAGATGTTCAGCATGTGCTACGATCACCATCGCACGAGTTTGGTAGTTGGAATTCAACACGAGGTTTGAACGTATGCAACACTGGTTGGGAAGCGCGTGATACCTGATTGAGTCGTTTGATGGCTTTATGTATGTTGCTTTGGCGGTCGCAGCCAGCCCTATCAGCTGCTGCTGCTAGTGCCGGAAGGTGCGCAACAACATGACTTCAGGATGTTGCTACTTGGCAACGTTGACAATCAATTCAAACCAGACAGGAGATAGCAACTTACATCAAAGTCCTTGAACATTGGCAGGTGCCGCCATGTCGACTGTAGACTCAAAGGACATTCCAGTGCTATACGTGCGGCCTCAGACAAAGGACGGCAAGACACTGACATGGGAGTCTGTGAGTAAGCTGCGAGTGTCACACCAGTCAGCGGACAATCCTATTCATCTATACCAAGTCGAGGTTTACGGGGTTGACGGGGTCAACTATGCGCTGCCAAAGAATGGCGGATCTGCCAAACAGTCCACTTTGCAGGGGGATGGGCGTGCCTACGGACGCGCGGAGTGTGTCATTGATGGAATTCGTGGAGATCCCTGCAATCATACAGCCCACGCGGAGAACGGATGGCTGGAGGTGCTCCTGGCTAAGCCCGTGAACGTCGAGAGCTTCGCAATCTTCAACATGGCTGATGATGAGTATGACCACCGCTTGCGTGCAGTGGGGCATGTAGTCGAGCTGTTTGATGGCGGCGGAGAGGTGGTGTTCCGCCATCGGATCAGCGTAGAGGACATTCCCTTCTTTGACCAAGCGGTTGGATGCTGCCAGAAGTGGGCGAACGAGGACTCCAACGTCGTCATTGCAAACCTCAGCTTTTCGCAGGATGCCAACCCGGAGGAGGTCACAGTGGCCGCTGTGCAGGCTAGCGGTAGGGAGCTCGCCAGAATGTCTCTGGCTCTTGCCCATCCTGGAGCCGTCCCAGAGATGTGCCGAGCCATTTCTGCGGAAGCTGGTGTGGCTGCGCCCCGGCTGCGCCTGCTGCTTCCGGATGGCCGGGTCTTGCGCATGAGCGAAGAGCTGCAGGCGCCATCTCTGGTCGAGCTGCTGCCGAGCCTGAGGGGCTCTTCGTCGTGACGATGCCTCGGGGGCTCGAACGATGTGAACAAGTTTGATCTGAATCTCCTGCACGTTTGAATCTGCTCGAAACGCTTGCAGAGAAATTAGCGGAAATCTGCACAGGTAGGGATCTAATGCATATTGGCCTTAATATGGGATCTGATGGATGTTTGCGCATATGTCTACAATTATGACTACTATTATTACTACTATTACTATTATTGCTATTATTACCATTATTACTATTATCCTTATTATTTTTAGTAGAGAGTGGGTCGGCGTGGGACCTGGGTTTTTGAAGCCACTGACATCGCGATATTTGTCTTGCATCAGAGTTTGAATGGAAGTTATTGATTAAGATCCAGCTAGAATTGAGCTGGGTTTGAAAAAGACCGGACATATTCAGTCGGATGTCCCACCATCTTAAGTTAGACTTTAGATAGGAATTCACTCCCAAAAGAATTTGAGCCTTGGATCATACTCTAAAACACATGTTGAAATGAAACAATTCAAGTTTGTTTAATACTTTTTGTTTTGTAATCTGAAGCTAAACATTTACATGTTAATTCTTGAACTTTACTTCAATAAAGAAAGACATTCTTCTTGTTTCTTCTAATTGGGCTGCCCTTTACAGGGAATGCAACACCAATAGACACTCAAGGGACATGCGGCTTCAGCTCTACTAATTTAAGATAAATGCACGCCAAGTCATGTATTTCCTTGCTTAAGTACATTTGAGCGCTAACGATTCGGTCAGCATCTTTGGAGAGAAGTTCATGTTAGAGTTCGGACATGTTCATTGATCTATTTCCTCACTTTGCGTTTTTTTTGGTTTTCACCCCTTTTTAAACCAGCGCAAATACGACACCATGAGCTCAGGACTTGGAGCCCCGGGGCCGGGAAAACTCGAGGTTTGCGTTTCGGGTCTGCAAATGGTTCTCGTTGTTGTTTACAGAAGCAGGCCCCACGGCGAGCCTTTCCGAAGGTTGTGATTTGTAAAGATTTTTTTCTTGAACCAACATCACGGCCCAGATCATTGACAACCTCACTGCCACCATTGTGTGCATCAAGATCCTTCAGAAGGTTGTGCCGCACAACAAGGCCTGGCTTGTAGCTCTTGAGCGAACCCAGGGTGCGGGACATACGTCCGAAACACCATGTCAGTGTCTCCCAAAATGAGTACCCTTGTATGGTTTTAAAGGGAAACTATCCAAAGGAAAGCCACCCTTTTGGGGGTTTCCCTAAAACAGGACGCACCCACATGGATTCCGGAGCCTCGTTTGGTTGCGCAAAAAAGGAAACCAACACGAAAACGCCATTTCAGGGGGCCCACTTGGAGAACTTTATGGAGCATTTGCGAAGGATTTTGTTCAGTTCGGTCCAGAGGGGGCTGCTGAGCGCGGATCAAAGGGATGGGACGATGTGATCAAGGGGCAGCACTGGCCAAATCGATCGGGTACCTGAAACCTGCTGCGTTCTTTCGGACATTCTTGCCGTGCTTGGAACGGGCCAAAAGTCAACATAGTTCTTTGAACAGCTAGGTGCAGGAACAGACATTTAAGACTCAAGTTGGATCTTGTGTCGATTTGTAGCCTCCTGCAAACCATACAGGCTTTTTCGGAAGTTGGATCTAGCGATCGAGCGGGGCAAACTATGTTTAAACTGGTGCCCAGTCCCCTTTGAAGGGAAGCCAAGCAGAGGTTGTGGAAGCAGTGGTTTCAACCGTGGTTTGCACAACGGCTGAATCAAGTCTTGCCTAACCGAATGTGAAACAGTTTGTCGTTTTTTTGTTGTTGAAAGTGGCAACAAACAAGTGGCTGGAACTAAATATTGGAACTTTCGCATTTTTGTTATTATTTTTTGCCAGAATTGTCTGGAACCAACATAGTAAGTTGACACTTGTCCTGCACCACCCAAGACACCATGGTTGAAACCATTGTTTGTTGGTATTTACAGGGGATCATATCATTCTATTCGTTTGCTTTGGTGCGAAATGTCGGTCCATGGCTTTCGTCTTGGCGAGGACTGGCGCCACTCCTGCGGCGGTCTGGTGGTCGTTGCCGCAAATGCCGGCGGGGCCTGGAGCCCGTGGCTGGGCTGACTGTCAGAAGCTGGAGAAAGACTTGGCCAGATGGAAACCCCACTTTCTCTGTGACCCACTGGTGCAGGGTTTCGTTCTGCAGTTACCCCTCAAGAAGGGTATTTTAACGGGAAACCAAAGGGAAACCAAAAAGGGAAACCAATGGGAACACCACCCCACCTGCTAGAAACACCCGCATGCGCCATGCGTTGCGCAAGTTTTGTCGAGTCTGTTTTACTCTCGCTCTGTTACACTGGTCTCTCTGTCTCACATTTCTCTCTCTTGCGCTCTCTCGCAAATGATGCCAATACACATTGACATGCACATAAGTTCGCTACACATATGCTACACATGCGCATACACATGCACATGCACATACACATCATAATACAGACACACACACACACAGACACACACATGCATATACATATATATATATATATATATATACACATATATATATATCATGACCAAATACAGTACAACCGCCATAGCCATCACATGACACAACATCACACAAGACAAGGCAACACAAGATACACAAACACACAGACAGACAGACACACAGACCCACAGACACACAGACAAACAGACACGCACCCACACATACGTTACGTACGTCCGCATACCTACACACTTACATACAGGCTGTCGCCTTCAGAGCCACTCACACATCGGTTACCCCCACAAAAGAACATCCAAAAGGAGGGTTGGCACAATAGGAAAGAATCGGAGGTATCAGCATGCAACACAATCTGTTTCTGACCAGCCAAAGAGACGAGACCTTCTGACCACACAGTGGACACTTCAAGCATGGTGTCCAAATCTGTCCTGCTTGCCACGCCTGTGACATCTGTCAAGGGCCTCCCTTTTCCCAAATATTCAGATTTGGATCAATGCTTCCAAAGGTAGTCTCTCGTGCCCCGACAGACTCCTTAGGCAGTCTATGTGAGATGTGCCTGGCGTGGTAGCCCCGCGGTAAGGATTGGTGATGTTACCACCACCATGCTGTGGATCCAGGGGAAGATTTCCACGGCAGGCGCGGCCATCTACTTGATCAGTTTATGAAACATTTTTGGCAGTGAGCAAATAGGTGACCGGAATTCGGCAAGAACTGCCCACAGAAAAGCATGTTTCAGGTTCAACACCTCCAAGAGGTGCCAAACGATTTTTCGTTTTTGGAGTTATATTGAAGGAGTTGGGGCACGCTCCTCTTTTTTCCGCTGTCGGTTTCTGTTCATTCACCGATGCCAGGAACTGTGGTGTGGCTCTTCTTGCCCTCCTTCGTCGCCGGAGTGGTGCCCCTCTTCGGGATCTGGTGGCAGGCACCCAGCCAGTCGTGCGAGAGAGCGACGCCAGTTTTCGGGTGGTGGTTCCAATCTCAGCCACGCAAAGAGGGTCATTTGGCTGTGGTTGTCAAAGCCAAGGATCCCATTTTTGGGTGGGTGAATTCACTACCCATTTTAGAACCTATTTTAGTGGGGATTGGAATGTTCACTGGGGGTACGGGATTTTGACCCATGGCCATTTTCAAGACGTCTTGCTGAAACTCAGAGGCATTTAAGGACCCTCCCGCAACCCACCCTTCGCTCCAAATTTGCTCAATATTGCTTGTCCGGAAAGTGCGTTTCCAAAGACCTCGCGAGCTTTTTCGGGAGAAGGCACTGCCACACTGATGGTTGTCCTCATCCAGCCCGAGCCCAACCGAAACCTACCACGATTTGTGCTCGTGGTCACTGAGTTCTATTCAGGCACTATTCACGCACTATTGCGGCACTGCTTAGTGGATTCCAGAAAAACTGCGCGTGATTGAGGTGCTATTGAGGGTCTATGGTGCTATTGAGGTGCCAGTGAAATGCGTTGAGCCATTTGTAGCCCGGATACTCGGCCAAGACCCTGTACTGCCCAGCAATCTAAGCTTTGGACGGGGAATGGTTCCGGGTGAGCTTCTAAGAGTCAACCTCTGAACCGCCTCAATGGCACACCACTTAGGCTCCAACCAAACTGCAAGTTTAGGGAAGCCTCGTTGGAGCTTGCTATCCAAGTTTCAACGAGGCTTCAGAAGCCGTACGCCTCTCTCGGTGAAAAGGGTCTTGGGGCTGCAAACCGCGAGCCCAAAGCCAAGGGTCAGGAGCTTTGGGAGTTCTGAATGACAAGAAAGACACGGGACAGACGCGCTCAGATCAGATCAGGCCAAGCGATATGGAACCTCGGAGAAGTCGCCGGAGATCGAAGCACCCGCGCCGCGGATGGGATTCCGACTCGCCTGGCCATTCGCGGCTTCTTTTTTGGGGAGCCTATGGTGGTTTGCCTTATGGCTTCTCTTTAAAGCGTCCCAAAATGGGAATCCTCAAAGAACGACAGGCCCATTTTTACAAGTTGACCATCATCCGGTCTTGGCAAGACACGACGTTTTTTGGGGGTGCATGGGTCCTTTTTTTGCTTTCCGCCGGGTGCGCGGGACATTCTCTCGTTTCAAGTTTCGGAAGCACATACTCTTTTTCTGGGCGCGGCGTGCCCAATATATCTTTGAGGCTTCTACCCCAGCGAAGTGGACCTTGTGCCGCGGGGGGCTGCATTAAGATGTGGGTTGCACCCCTTGTACATCCCAAGTCAACCCGGGGGTTTAAAACGGCCTAGTCGGGTTCAAAAAGGCATGACTGTAAGCCATCTTAAATTGGGGTTGGCTAGACGTAAGTCCACTCAAAGACATTGCAGGCGCTTGAACAGCGGACGCTGAGAGCCAGAGCGCACTGAACCCAAGAGGAAACAAGCAAACCAAAACGTCTAGACTCTAGACACACTCCAACGGCACACCACTCATTCTATTTCTCAACATGGCGTGCCAGCTAAGCAGGAGCCGAGACCTATTTCAAATGACGAACGTGTAGTTTTACTCGACCTTGGGCACATGTTTCCATGTTCAGGCTGAAAGCAA